TGCCCCTTTTGCATTTTTTTAAAAGTTTACCTCAGCGGACTTATGTTGTACTAGTCCCTTTGTGCTTGACTTACTTCACTTAGTATGATTTCCTCCAGTTCTTCCCATGCAGCGATGCGCTTCATACGTTCATCACTGCTTTTTAGCAACAGCATACTATTTTCTAAGTTGATTCATGTTTGTAGCATGTATCAGAATTTATTTTCTCTTTATGACTAAATATGAGGGGGCTTCAAAAAGTTTGTAGAAAAATTCTATTATGTTTCAATTCAATTTTTGCATGAGCTTTTTAAAGCCCTGTCGTATTATTGCATTGTTTATACCATATTTTGTTTATCCATTTATCTGTTGTTTTCTTAGTTTCCACTTTAGACTGCTGTGGAAAATACTGCAGTGAACTTCATTGTTCATTTATTTGTTTGCGTCTTTTGGTTTTCACTTTTCAAGGCTTTGGGGCACATAGCTAGGATTTGGAATGTCTGCGGGATAGTCTATGTGCCCCAGAGGACATCATGGTTGGTAGTGAAAAAGAGGAAGATCATCAATAAAATGGATTGAAAAAATAAATAAATAAAATGGATTGACACAGTGACTGAAACAATGGGCTCACACATAAAAATTGTGAAGATGGAACAAGACTAGGGTCTCTGTGAGTCAGAACTGACTTGATGGCACCTCGCAACAACATTCTGTGTTTAACTCTTGAGGAGCCATCACACTGCTTTATGGAGTAAATTCACTGTTGTACAATCTAAGCAGTAATGTCTAAGGATTCCAATTTCCCAACATACTAACACTTGTTACTTTCTGTTTTCTGATAAAAGCCATCCTAGTTGAGGTAACATCTCATTGTGATTTTGATTTGCAGTTCCCTAATGACTACTGATAGCGAGAATCTTTTTCCGTGTTTACTGGCCACATGTGTGTGTGTGTGTGTGTGTTTCTCCAAAACTCACTGCCATCAAGTGAATTCCAACTCAAGCAACCCTATTGCACAGAGTAGAACTGCACCTGGAGGTTTGTGAAACGTAACTCTTTGTGCAATTAGGAAGCCTCTTCTTCCAGAGGAGTGGCTGGTAGTTTTGATCTGTGGTCTTGGGGTTAACTGCCCAAATATAGCGTATTTAAAAAGTTGATAATTCTAGTGTTGAACCAAACCCTGAGTCCCTGTAATAAATTCCCCTTGGTGATGGTATATAGTTTTTGGATATGCTGTTAGGATCAGTTTGTTAATATTTTTTGAGTATTTTTGAATCTCTCTTCTTAAGGGATATTGGTCTGTAGTTTTCTTTCTTTCTTTCCTTTTTTTTTCTTTTTCTTTTACTGGTGTCTGTGCCCTTGTTTTAGTTTCAGGGTCATGGTGCCCTCGTAGAATGAGTTAGGAAGTACTTTTTCCTTCTACTTTGAGAACAGTTGAGAAGGATTGGTGTTAATTTTTCTCTTAACTGTTTGATAGAATTTTCGAGTAAAGCTATGTGTTCCTGTACTTTTCTTTTGCGGAGGGTTTTCATTACTGATTCAATCTCTTCACTTGTCATAAGTCTGTTGATATTTCCTATTTCTTCCTGAGTCAATGTTTGCATATTTGTAGGAATTTGAACTTTTTTTTAAGAATTGATTTTAAAATATAGTATTTATTGAATCTCTGAAATTAATTTCATATTATTATAGCCTTTGCCAGGGGGTAAGTTTTAGTACTTTTTAGTCACTCTCTGGCTATCTTTCAATTATGAAGTATTAGAATTATACCTATAAATGCAAGAATCTGACTATCTATAATTTTATAAGAATAAAACTCACTGAACTTCCTTTTCAAACAAATTTGTGTAAAATTAGCTGGATCACACTGCCACTCAGACTTTGCCATACATACAAATCACCTGAGGGCTTGTTAAAATTCAGACTATGATTTAGTAGTTGTGGCATGGGGCCCTAGCATTTGCATCTTTAAAAGGACAGGGGTGATGCCGTTGCTGCTGGTCCGCAGATTGAATTCTGGTAGTAAAATGTTAACAGATAATTATTTTAGCCTTTAGAGGATCCCTGGTGGTGCACTGGTTAAGTGATAAGCTGCTAACTGAAAGATCAGTGTTCAAGGCCATCAGCCACTTATTCCCTAGGAGAATGATATGGCCATTAGCTTCCTCAAAGAAATACAAGGCTAGGAAACTATGTAGGACAGTTCTGCTTTGTTCTGTAGCAGTGGTTCTCAACTTTCCTAATATCGTGACCCTTTAATATAGTTCCTCATGTTGTGGTGACCCCCCCAACCATAAAATTAATTCCATTGCTTCTTCATAACTGTAATTTATTACAGTTATTTGACTGTTGTTTGAACGTGTTATTTGACCCCCGAAAGGGGTCACGACCCACAGATTGAGAACCGCTATTCTAAAAGGTCTCTATGAGTCGGAATCAACTCCTTGGCAGTGGGTTTGTTTTTGGATGAGATTGAGCTTTGGGGTATGTTTTAAAGTTGTTGTGTGTGGTTTTCAGATAGATTATATAACCTGTGAATACTGTATATACTCAAGTATAAGCCTACCCGAATAATCAGCTGAGGCACCTAATTTTTTTTAAATAACTTTATTAGGCCTTGTACAACTCTTATCACAATCCATACATACATCCATTGTATCAAGCACATTTGTTTTTTGTTTTGTTTTTTAATCGTTTTATTAGGGGCTCATACAACTCTTATCACAATCCATACATACATCAGTTGTGTAAAGCACATTTGTACATTCATTGCCCTCATCATTCTCAAAACATTTGCTCTCCACTTAAGGCCCTGGCAACAGGTTCTCATTTGTTCCCCCTCCATCCTCGCTCCTCTCCTCCCCCATGAACCCTTGATACATTTATAACTTATTATTATTTGTCATATCTTACAGTGTCCGAAGTCTCCCTTCACCCACTTTTCTGTTGTCCATCCCCCAGGGAGGAGGAGGTTATATGTAGATCCTTGTAATCGGTTCCCCCTTCTACCCCACCTTCCCTCCCAATTCTACCTTACAAATCTGGCTAGACCAGAGGATGTACACTGGTACAAACAGGAACTAGAAACAGGGAATCCAGAGCGGATGGACCCTTCAGTGGTGAGTGTGGTGATACCGGGAGGGTGGGCTGGAAAGGTGGAACCGATTACAAGGATCTGCATATAACCTCCTCCCTGGGGGATGGACAACAGAAAAGTGGGTGAAGGGAGATGTCAGACAGTGTAAGATATGACAACATAATCAATGAACTATTTTATAAATCCAAAATTTAGTCATTTTTTTTTATTTAGCAAAATTATACAGGTACAAACAACAAAGCACAATGCAATTTCACAACAACAACAAAAATACAGTTTTAGAAAAAGAATATTACTTGTTTAATCACAGCTTTTAAATTTTGAAGAAAAAAATACTTGTGTCTAAGCTTAATTTTTAAAGAAAACAAAACTAATAATTTAAGAAATACTTTCAAGTGAATAAAAATTGTTCAGTAAGAGTGTATTAAAAGGCATTAGTATTATAATGTTTCCCAAATGGCACATATACACCTTGTTTTATTCTGCAGTATTTAAAAAAAAATCATTTAAAAATCTAAATAATCCAAATTAGAGAAGGACTGATCTCTTACGAATGAAAGAAAAAGGAAAAATGGTCTGATTATGAATGATAGCTATTAAAAATAAATGCCTTCAAATTATGTAAATTATGACAGTATATTTACATAGAATTTGAGTATTTTAAAAATATTAATTTTTCTAAATCTAGTAAAAATTTCAATATCCAATTAAAAAAAAAAGATATGACAAAATAATACTTACCTGGCAGGGGAGATAACATGATCACGAAGGTGGTTTTCCCAGGGCGAGACTTATCCATTGTGCTCTGGATGTGCTGACCCCTGCGATTTCCCCATAAAAAGGAAAAAAAAAAAAACATATGGCAAAATAATAATAATTTATAAATTATCAAGGGTTCATGGGGAAGGGGGGAAAGGGGAGAAAATAAGCTGATATTAAGGACTCAAGTTGAAAGCAAATGTTTTGAGAATGATGATGGCTACAAATGTACAAATGTGCTTCACACACTGGACATATGTATAGACTGTGATAAGAATTGTACGAGCCTCCAATAAAATGATTTAAAAAAACAAACAAACAAAACCAATGCCACAAAAAAAGAAAAGCCTGTCAATAGTTTAAGGTGTGTTTGTTGACCTTGGCCCCAAAGTCTATATTTGGTACTCCCTCGGGACGTCCTTGCTCTGCTCCCCTTGCTGTTTTGTTGCACACCCTTAGTGTTTTACTACAGTGTGGTGGGGTCAGATCAAGTGCAGTTCCCATACTGTGTCTCCAGTGTTGTACCCTGTAGGGCTATGGGTCTCTGAGGGATTTTGTGTCTCATAGTGAGGCCAGCCATATGGTCCTCTCTGTGCATTGGTTGCTCTGAGTGGGGATATCATCTTAAAGGTTTGGGAGGCACCTAATTTTACCACAAAAACTGCATTTAAAATGTGTTGGAAAATCCTGCTTAAACTTGAGTATATATGATATACTGCTTTCCCTCGTATTCTTGAAGGTTATAATACTATATATATAACCTAAGGTTTTTAGATTCAACATTTGAAAATTGCCCCCAAAACGGTGAGTGTTAGAGCAGTGGCAATACTTGGGTTGGTGTCATTCAGTAACTCATAGTGTTGTTCCCTCTAAGTATCTCCTCTCACAGCAGATCATACAGAATCTTTTTTTTTCTTTTCAAAATCATTTTATTGGAGGCTCGTACTACTCTTATCACAAGTGATACATCCATCTATTGCGTCAAGCACATTTGTACATTTGTTGCCCTCATCCTCAAAACATTTTCTTTCACTTAATCCCTTGGTATCAACTCCTCATTTTTCCCCTCCCTCATGAACCCTTGATAATTTATAAATTATTATTGTTTTCTCATGTCTTACACTGTCTGTCTCCCTTCACCCACTTTTCTGCTTCCCCTCCCCCAGGGAGGAAGTTATATGTAGATCCTTGTGATCCGTTCCCCCTTTCTACCCCACCTTCCCCTTACTCTCCTGTTACCACTACTCTTATTATTGGTCCTCAGGAGTTTATCTGTCCTGGATTCTCTGTGTTCCCAGTTCTTATCTGTACAGTGTACACGCCCTGGTCTAGCCGGATTTTTAAGGTAGATTTGGGATCATGAAAGTAGTGGGGAGGAAGTCTCTAAGAACTAGAGGAAAGTTGTATGTTTCATCATTGCTATACTGCAACCTGACTGGCTCATCTCCTACCAGTCTGTAAGAGGATGTCCAGTTGCCGACAGATGGGCTTTGGGTCTCCACTCCACACTCCCCCTCATTCACAATGATATGATTTTTTGTTCTTTGATGCCTGGTACCCGATCCCTTCAACATCTCGTGATCACACAGACGGGTGTGCTTCTTCCATGTGGATTTCGTTGCTTCTGAGCTAGATGGCTGCTTGTTTATCTTCAAACCTTTCAGACCCCAGACACTATATCTTTTGATAAACGGGCACCATTAGCTTTCTTCATCACATTTCCTTATGCACCTGATTTGTCTTCAGCGATCGTGTTGGGAAGGCGAGCGTCATGGAATG